TCAAGAAAAATACTAAGGCCTAGATTTGGCAAATTGCTTACATAACTTTGTACTACAAAACTAAGAAAATCATTCCTCCATGATGATCTGCACAGCAGTGCTTGCAGATGGCTAGCCCCCCTACAATAATAAGGCCACCCCACAATTATTTCTTGCCTTGAGCCCTGCAGGCAAGCAAAGCCACAGCCAAACTAGCAAAGATTAAGGTGCTTAAGTGGAAGCCTGCCACTTTCAATAAAAAAAGCAAAAAGCCTAGATTTGGCGAATTGCTTACATAACTTTGTACTAGAAAACTAGGAAAATCATTCCTGCATGATGATCTGCACAGCAGTGCTTGCAGATGGCTAGCACCCCCTACAATAATAAAGCCACCCCACAATTATTTCTTGCCTTGAGCCCTGCAGGCAAACAAAGCCACAGCCAAACTAGCAAAGATTAAGGTCCCCAAGTGGAAGCCTGCCATTTTCACAAAAAACAATAGGCCTAGATTTGGCAAATTGCTTACATAACTTTGTACTAGAACACTAGGAAAATCATTCCTGCATGATGATCTGCACAGCAGTGCTTGCAGATGGCTAGCCCCCCTACAATAATAAGGCCACCCCACAATTATTTCTTGCCTTAAGCCCTGCATGCAAACAAAGCCACAGCCAAACTAGCAAAGATTAAGGTCCCCAAGTGGAAGCCTGTCATTTTCAAGAAAACCAATAAGCCTAGATTTGGCAAATTGCTTACATAACTTTGTACTAGAAAACTAGGAAAATCATTCCTGCATGATGATCTGCACAGCAGTGCTTGCAGATGGCTAGCCCCCCTACAATAATAAGGCCACCCCACAATTATTTCTTGCCTTAAGCCATGCATGCAAACAAAGCCACAGCCAAACTAGCAAAGATTAATTAAGGTGCACAAGTGGAAGCCTGCAATTTTCAAGAAAAACCATAGGCCTAGATTTGGCAAATTGCTTACATAACTTTGTACTAGAACACTAGGAAAATCATTCCTACATGATGATCTGCACAGCAGTGCTTGCAGATGGATAGCCCCCCTACAATAGTAAGGCGACCCCACAATTATTTCTTGCCTTGAGCCCTGCATGCAAACAAAGCCACAGCTAAACTAGCACAGATTAAGCTGCCCAAGTGGAAGCCTGCCACTTTCAAGAAAAAGCAAAAAGCCTAGATTTGGCGAATTGCTTACATAACTTCGTACTAGAACACTAGGAAAATCATTCCTGCATGATGATCTGCACATCAATGCTTGCAGATGGCTAGCCCCCCTACAATAGTAAGGCCACCCCACAATTATTTCTTGCCTTAAGCCCTGCATGCAAACAAAGCCACAGCCAAACTAGCAAAGATTAAGTTGCCCAAGTGGAAGCCTGTCTTTTTCAAAAAAAAGCCTAGATTTGGCAAATTGCTTACATAACTTTGTACTAGAACACTAGGAAAATCATTCCTGCATGATGACCTGCACAGCTGTGCTTGCAGATGGCTAGCCCCCCCTACAATAATAAGGCCACCCCACAATTGTTTTTTGTCTTAGCCCCTGCATGCAAACAAAGCCACAGCCAAACTAGCAAAGATTAAGTTGCCCAAGTGGAAGCCTGTCTTTTTCAAAAAAAAGAAGGCCTAGATTTGGCAAATTGTTTACATAATCTTGTACTAGAGCGCTAGGCAAATCATTCCTGCATGATGATCTGCGCAGCAGTGCTTGCAGGTGGCTTGCCCCCCTACAATAATAAAGCCACCCCACAATTATGTTTGCCTTAGCACCTGCATGCAGGCAAAGCCAAAGCCAAACTAGCAAAGATTAGGTTGCCCAAGTGGAAGCCTGTCATTTTCAAAAAAAAAGAAGGCTTCGATTTGGCAAATTGTTTACATAACTTTGTACTAGAAAACTAGGAAAATCATTTCTGCATGATGTTCTGCACAGCAGTGCTTGCAGATGGCTAGCCCCCCTACAATAATAAGGCCACCCTACAAAAATTTCTTGCCTTGAGCCCTGCATGCAAACAAAGCCACAGCAAAACTAGCAAAGATTAAGGTCCCCAAGTGGAAGCCTCACATTAATGGTTAGCAACACAAACCAGCTGCCAGGCCTACACTACCCCCTACAATAATAAAACCCCCTCAGAATAAATGCCATCTACAAACCAGAATTCCACAAAAAAACGGCACCTTCAATTTAATTTTAAATTGCCCTTCACTTTTCTTCTTTCTTGTCTCTCTGCCTTCCCATCCCCCCCTCCCCCCTTCCACCCCCCCACAATTTGGGGGGGGGGGGGGGGCCCGGGGGGGGGGGGGCCCCCCCTATTAATCAAGAGCAAAGATTACCTTTGTTGCTTGGCTAGCGGGATGCCATCCATGCCGGGCGGCTTCCCACGTGTGAGGACAACATGCAAGTTCTGACTCTTGAACACATGCCGAGCTTGGGCGAAAAGCGCATTGCTTGCTGTTTGCTTGGAAAGCTTACCACGAAACAACTGGGCAATGCGACCAGGGCCATGATGCAACGCTGATTCCGAAAAAGGAGGCCCGCCAAACCGGGAAAGCGGGGCGATCATTTTGGTTTCGCGTTGCGGCAAGCATCTCTCCTGCTAACCGCTGGTCACCAACAGGGAAGCGCCAGAAACGCTCAAAGCTTTCACCACACGTCTTTGCTGGTGAGATTTTGAACCTCCAAACCGAGCAGCGACATTTAGGCGAAGCTACAACCGCTTGATCACTGCCCCGACCTGTTGTTGGCCAATTCCAGTGCCAAGCTTGTGAATGCACCCCTTCTGGATCAACCGCCCAAGCCCAGATTCACCCGCAGCCAGGGGCCAGGACTTTGTCAAGGCGTGGGCCGCACAACGTCAGCTCGAAATGGACAACCGTCCACCCAATCTGGAACCCAAACCGAGCTGCAGTGAGCTCCGGGTACCAGCCGCTGTGCTGCAGCAGCTCCACCTGCCGGAAGCAACAGCCCAAGACTTGGCAGCAGTCAGCACTTGGTCATTGGTGAAGGGCACTTGCTGCTCATCCGCCTCTCTATCAGTTCGCTGGACTTTGTGCCCTGACCACGCTCGAAGAAAACGAGAAAAAAATACAGGGATTTGCCAGCTCGGGGACTTCAACAAAAGACACCAAGGCTCCGAGGTGAGAGTAAGCCCATGGCAACCCAAATCGGACAAAGAACTGAACGAGAGCAAGGTCAGGATACAGAATGCGGAAACAACGTCACCGGCCTCCGCACAGAACACTTTGCAAAGCCAGATGCTGGAAGCGCAGCATGTGCGAAGCTGGAACGCCAGTAACTAACTGTGAGGACCTGCGGGCCAGGAGGAATTCAGGAATTAACCTACAGGTTCGGGGGAGGCTCTTGGACTCTAAAAATCTGCAGGTGCCGCGGCAACTGACACACTTCGGGCAGGGGCTGAACTCCAGGCAGCACCGCTACATTTCGTGACGTGTTGCTACACCTTTAAAATTCGGTCATTCTGCATGCCGCACGCGAGAAGGTTCGTTTTACCCTGGCCACGAATGCGGTTCCAACACCTTCTCATCCGCATGGCCTTGAACATGCCCCAAAGATTCGAGGTTGCGCAGTGGCTGACATCAACGCACCCCCCACAATCCCAGTTCCTGCTGCGCACGCATTGCATGCATAAGTTGGTGGGGACAATCTGATTCGCACGATGACCAATGTTCCAGAAAATCTGCGTACACAAAGGGGCCCTGCCGCTCGGCAGTGCGAGCTGAAAAGCACTTGCTATGATTCTCGCCACACTCGCTTGGAGACATCCCAAAAAGGGCACGCTTGAAAACAAGAAGCCCAAGCTCTCCCTCCTCTCACGTTTCTCCTCTGCACCAGCCTGTCTCAACCACTCCACGCGCAGCTGGCATGCATATTGCACTGAGAGGCGAACGCAGCCCTCCTGAAGTAAGCCCAGAGCTGGCGACCAAAAGCTGATCCAGTTATTCAGAAAGACAATTTCAGGACACATACTTCTGCTGAAAGCTCTGAACGTCGCAAAGGACTGCCTAGCTTTTCAAGCTCGTTTTGGGGGCATTGCATGGCCAGCGACCACGGATCGAGTCAAAGCTCCAGTACCTGCAAGTATCCTGCGTCCAATGGGACTACCTTTTGCTCCATGGTCTGCAAAGAGCCGCCCAGTCAGCATGCCATGACCCGGCAAGCCAAGCGGCCGGCCTTGCAGGGCCGGGGGCAATGGTTGCCCGGCAGGAGGTGAAGCATTGCCTCAGTGCCCATCCGAGTTCCTCCTGCTCGGTTTGGTTTGGGGCATGCCTTCCCGTTTCGGCTCAGCAAGTGGTTCAAGTCCCCAAGCCACCAACCTAAACCACACAAACCACCAAGGGGAAAGCCGATTTGGGGCACGCCACTGGGCGCTCCAACCTGGAAGTCACTGAAGCTGGAGCTCCGCGAGAGGCCCGGGTACCTGGAGCTTCCATGTCGAGGGGATGGAGGCAAACCCACCCCGCATCGAGGCATCGGCCCATCGGCGCCCGGCGCGGTCTTTCTCAAACGCGAGATGGGTCTGCTTAACCCCACAAGGGGCAGGTGATGAGCTTTCGGCAGAGCTCATGGCCGCGAAACGAGCCGCTGGGCGCTGTGGGATTAAATGCCTCGGCCCAGCCAAACAACGGCATGGGCGGAACTGCCGGTAGCACAAATGCCACAGCCAAGCTGGCTGCTCAGCCGATATGGCCGGGACTTTAGAAAGACGAGGACTTTGACTTAGCGCACCAGCCGTGCGTGGCGTTCTGGAAGGGGTGAAGGGAGATGGCTCAGCATCCGCAATTGGCACAACAAAGTTCAAAGACTTTCATTTGCAAACTATGCCAAAATATCTATGGCGAGGCTTGCCCCAACCTCCGCCAAGCACTGGGCGCCGAGCATATTAAATCAAAGAAATAGATTCAGGCGGCAGCCACAAGGCCGCAGCATGCCCTACGGAGAAAGGCGAGCACAGCAGGGGACGCACTTTGGCAAGCGCCTCATGCCAGGGTGCGCATGGGATCCGGGGTCTTCTGGTTGTTGAACTTGTACAGGGAGCTCAGGGTCTTCCATCCCAGCTTCATATCACCCACGGGGTCGTTGCCCTGCACGGTCTTGTAAAGGTACGAGTCGAAGGTCACCTGAGCACCACAGACTGAAGCTGTTAAGACTGTTCTTTGCCGGCATCCGGGCACATCCATAGCCCTCACATCAACCCCACGTCCAAGCCCGTGCTGCCCCATACAGGTACCCCCTCAACGTCACCCGGACGGCCTTCTGCACGTACTCCTCCTCGCAGAGCTCAACGAAGCTCTCTCGGGCGGCATCGCTGGTGTAGAAGACCTTCTGCAACAGGTCCAAGACTAAATACCTCGAAACGCATAGATGCTTTGCACTCAACTTGCGAGGGGCCGAAAGCTGGCAACGTCATGCGTTTGGGGTTAATCTGGCATAATTAACCTCGAAGCCTCGCACATGCCACCGCACTGCCGGGGACCATGCACCCGCATGCCTGATTGACTAAACAGCGAGTGCGTCAGCCGAAGTGGTCCGCTGAGTTGCGTTGGGCCGTACTTGGCATCCCACTCGCGGATGTGCTCCATGAGGTCTGCCTGCAGTTGCATCCACTTGAGCCAAGTCTGGTCCTCTCTCTAGTTTGGATTTGGGGGTTGGGACCATCGGAGTGGCAAGCAAATGTCTTGGAAGGTAGCACCCCAACCCGCCCGCTTGGCTTCATGCCGCAAGCCAGCCGCCCGGCCTCATCAATCAAGCGAGTCCCCTGCTCGGAGTTCTTCACAATGGTTGCAGCACACCTAGCGGCGAGTCATAGACAAGGCCATCAAACTGATTGCCAACAGCCGCGTTCAAGGCCCCTCTGCCAGGGTACGGCGCATGATTCAAACGCAATGCTAGCACTGCCTTGATTAGCCACGCAAGTCATGGTAAGACATGCGAACACGTCAGCCGCACTTCCAAACGTCCGAGGAATGGGGACGCAAGGACATTCTAGATGGGGCATACTTATCCTACTTTCTTATTCACATACACGTTGGTGAATCCGAATTGTACTGCCAACAAACTGCCACCATGCCACATGCGGCCGCTCTTGGCTGCAAAGTAGATGCCCTCTCCAGAGCACTTGGTGACGTAACCAGCCGCATCGCCCACGAGGATGGCGCCGTCCTGGCGAGCCAGGCACGAAAGAATGCCTGCATGGATTTGGGATAGGGAGTGGGAGCCCACATGGCGCACACACACGCCCTGCACACGACGAGCGCGGAGGTCCTTGACACGCCAAGGCCTGGGGTGCTCCGGGATGGGGTGGGCCTCCACGCGGATGATTTCACCGCCCTCGATGCGCACGGCCGCCCGGTCACGGATTCCCTGCTGATATCTCTGGATTCCCTTCTTGTCGATGACCGTGCCCGTGCCCACCGCCACGTGGTCGCACTTCGGGAAGACCCACGCGTAAAAGTCAGGGGACACGTCCTCGCCCACGTACATCTCGGCCCTGTCCTTGTAGTAGTCCATCTTGTTCTCTGGGATCTTCATGCGCTCCTGGAAGGCAATGGCATACTCGTAGTCGCCCGCTCCGATCTCCTTGGCCACACGGCTGTTGGCACCGTCAGCGCCAACCACAACATCCACCTCCAGCGTCTTCTTCTCGCCCTTGCGCGCATTGCCGTCCTCGCCCTCGTAGTCGTTGTAGGTCAGCACATACGACTCGCCCTTCTGCTGCGGCATTGTCATGCCCATGAACAGCCCGTTGATCAGTGTGGCACCGTTCTTCTTGGCACGCTGTCGCATATAGTCATCCAGGACCTCACGGCGAACCATCCCGATGAACTCGTCGTCCTTCAGCGTCTGACCAATCTGCACCTCCTTGTTGGTAGGCGAGATCATGGTCATCTTCCTCACCTTCCAATGCTCAGACCATGAGCAAAGTAGTCTTCAAGAATCGTAAAAATATGGCCTATGTGCTCATCTTCACAGCCCGTTAAAACGGCTAGATGCAGTTCTTGCGAACAAAAGCCAAAAACACGGCACTGCCCCATTCGACTGCCCAGGCTGTCCCAAGAACGCATCACCTCCTGCCTGGCGATCGACGATGTCCTTGGGGAGGTCGAACTCGTCAATCATGCACAAAGGAATGGCGCCGCCGCAGGGCTTGCAGTTATCAAGCTTGCGCTCAATGAGGTACGTCTCGACACCCGCCTCCCAAAAAGAACTGAAAGGACCTCCAACCTTGCAAGCTCATGCAAAATTCCTCAGGACCCTGGACTTGGCTGAAAGCTTTCCCTACCTGAGGTGTCAGCTCAACCCCCACGCCTGGGCGAGGGCGTCGGCGGTGGATGCTCCTGCGCTCAAGAAGGAGCTAAGCTGAGAGCGCGCTGGACATGTGCTCCGACAGGACTTGAGTGTCTGAGCACCTTACCTTTTTCACGACTCTTTCAGGTCATCTCATTCAAAGGCTGTGCTGTCCTGCAGGGCCACCGCCCA